CCGAACCGGAACCGGTCCACCCCTAGTAAAGACGGGTCGCTATGACCGGCAGGGGCTGCACCCTAGGATTAGATGGAAAAATTGTTCCAGAAAACTTGTAGTATATGGTTCCAAAAAAAATTGATAGAATTTATTTTTTGCTGAGTTGGCAATGGGATGAGCTTTCTGAAACTAGAAGGTGGGCTGGTGGGATAGACATCGTCCCTTTTTTTTTTCATTCCATGTCATCACCACAGCCATAGTCCATATTGTCGTTGGATATGTTTTTTTTCCCGAAGTTTGATGTGGCAATGCATTTAGAGGAATTGATGCTCCTGTTAAAGATGCTCTAAGCAGCCCCTCCCACGGCCCACCCTTCCCGGCCCAGTTCTATCTATTAAGTCAAAACAAACATAAAAATAGGCACATTTTGCGCAGCCGAAGTATAGAATGCACAAGTCCAATATCATAACAACGCACAACCCAAACAAGCATTTGGCACAGTAACTACTTTATTGTAGCAAGATCACTGAACAACTCCAGACTACAAACAAAGTCATTGTGATTTACTGTTTGTTCAGGCAGTGGACAGGAAACGGTTCATCCATGAGCGGAAACGAGACCAGGCCAGCTCCACAGTGGCATTCTCAACATCAGACTCTCCCATGGTTCTCCTCCTTTGTACCCCGTCGGAGGAAATGTTCATAAATGCATGCCCAGTCTTTGGATAGAAATGCACCTCATGTTCAACTCCAGATTCCTTCAGCTTTTGTTCCAACTCTTTCCCAGCCTGAGAAAAAAGACCCTCTTCAGTATTTCATACTCCCTTATGTTCAAAGAAATACTAGTATTTGTAAATCTTTTTTGAAGGTGTTTTACCAACTTTCATAACAATTCTGCAAGTTTGTGATTATATTGCGAAAGGCACAATCTTTAAAGATAATAATAACAATGCATTAAAAGCACCTGCGATTTCTTTTCATTTTTCACTTTATCAGTCTATGCTTTTTGGCACGTCAGCCCATGCTATAGATTAATAGAAGGATATGAAAAATGAGAAAATCTACAAAATTGACCCAAATAATGAGGTTTTCTGATACCTTAATATCTGAAAATCCAGCAAAACCATCATCCTCGCCAAAATGAGCCTGCACAGGTGCCTTAGCCTTGGCAGGGTCTGCCAGCTCAGAAGAAGGGACTCCATAGAATGCTACAACAGCATCAACACCTGATACTAAAACAGAACTTGCAATGGCAAGGGCACCACCCATGCAGTATCCAGTAACTCCAACCTATACCATTGTTTTAACCAGTAAAGGAAAACTCATACTTCGTATGTAAGAGCAACCAAATATGCAAGTTACAGGAGTAATATGACACTCATAAGGGAAATTTTACACATCACTTCAAGTGGCAGACAAATAACCACCAACTTACTTTCAAACATCCAGATGATGTCCATGAGAGCATCCACATCCATTCCGTTACAGACGTGATTAAGAGATTAAGAGGAAGAATATTGAGAGCAATACCGATTAAGAACTTCCCCACCCAAGGCAAGAGCATGTGGCGCCAAGCCTAGTTAAGACTCTATGGAATAATATCCAAAACTATTGATTTCATACAAGTGACAATGCCTTCGTGAACAAGTATTACAGTTATCCCAAGTCTATTACACTACTGCTATTGAAAATATATTAACTAAAGTAGAATACCAATAATAATATAACAAGATCAGTGATAATAATTGGAACCCGACTTTCAAAATACTTCTTCATGTTCCTTTTGCACAACTCTAAGACGAGCGACACCCATATCACAATCTCCCAACATAGCTAATCTGATTGTACGTGGTCACTCACTGCCAAATCATTTCCACATTAAAACAAAAACTAAATAATCACACCATTTAGCAACTCCCACCATATTCTCTAAATAATATTATCTTTTGTGTGTCCTAGACACATCTATCAGCTCTACTTTAACAAATTGATAGAGAGCAGGGAGAGCAAGGGGTGGGGACGGGCTTGATCCCACCTTCGTGGGCGGGCTGCGGGCAATTTAACTAATTTTAATTATTCTTTTATTTTGTTTCCTAATTGATTTTGTTTCCTAGTATGATTTAATTAGGATTTCTATTCTTATTAGAATTAAAGGTTTCCTATTTCTATTTAGTTTCCTAGAATGGTTTAATTAGGACTTCTATTATACCCCTTGTATGCTTCATTCTTGATCATCTTGGAACAAAATTGGAGTTTAGCCTTTTGGCTCTGGGCAACGGTATTTTTATTGTTGATTATCTGGGCAACGGTTTACCCCGTTGTTTTTTATTTTTCTGTTCTCATCACAAATAATCTGAATTCACATCGTGCTTCCACTTATTGTACCAAATAGCCCCTCTCACCCATCCATCATTCTAAAAACAATCTTCCACTGCACCCACTTCATCCCCAAATAATCACATGGATGGAGACAACTCTTTAGAGCTTGTATTATGTATAAATTAGAGAGTCAAAACAACCCAATTAGTGTTCTAAAGGAATCACTAAGACAGAATAATGTTTTCAGAAATGTTAGCAGTTAGAGATTGGAAACGATAGAATAGAACTTACCAATATATGTTCAAATTTAAGAAACTAAAGACATCCCTTTAGTATATAAATCTCAACTAACAGATGACCAATGGGTACAACCATTGCACAGCAGACAACTCAAAATGGTCATCAAATAGTATGGAGGGATACTCCATATATAGAGATTGTAGTACTGCTTTTTTACTGTTTGGAAAACTTTTTTCCTCCAATTTGTACCAGAAAGACTGTCAACTCCAAAGAATGTGGTAATGCAGCTTTTGTTTAAAGAGTTTCTTACTCAAACTTGTAAGAGAAAGCATGAGAACTACAATAAAATTGCAATTCTCCTCATCTTAAACCCCGACCTCTTACCTTTTCCCATTAAGCACCAATTTAAGAGTACATATAAACATGTATATTTATAGGAATTATGAAGCAGAAAAGAACAACCTTCTTTGAACCATTCTCTTTTAGCCAATTAACTGAGGCATGAATATCTTTCACAGCTCCTTGCCAATCAAGCCCTTCCATCAAATGTTGTGCTTCTGCAACATCTAATCCAACTTTTCCACGGTACAGACTAACATTGAAATGGAAAAAACAAGTTACACTCTTAACTCTTTTACCTCTCAGAGAAGGGACAAATAGAGCTAAACTTACGTACAAGGGTCTTACTCGGGTATAAGTGCCTTGTAACCAGAGCCAAATTGAGAGATCTTCTGAGCATGGTTTTTTATCTCAAAGTCCACACCCCACCATTCCTGAAGCACAACAATTCCAGGAGCATCTTCTTTTCCAATTACATATGCATCAAATGTCTGGTTGATATTTTTAGCAAGAAAAAGATCAAGAGATCAAATTTTTGCTTGCCATGAGGTTTTGCAAAATTAAATGCAAAAACTGAAGCTAAAATAAGTGGACAAAGAGTTATAATGAAACTTTAAGTAGTACACAACCAAACATGTTCATCCACAAATGATACAAATCCATCAAATGGACGTCTCTAGAAGAATTTCAAACCTCTTTCGTGATTTCTTTGCTCATTTCATTTTATTTAAAAATATTAAGCATTTCAGAGGAGAGAAACTGATTTACATCATCATACTATAAGAATAATGTAGTCTAGAAAAAAGAGTACACAAGGTGCCCTGGCACACTAGTACTCTACGATTATTTGACTGTTCTGTGGGCCAATGGACAATTAGGAAAATGTTCTTCTTTCTAAAATCAAATTAAAGACTGCCAAGAGTCATCCCAAGCAAGCTCTTAACCATCAAAGTTTCAACTACGAACCACATAGATTGCAGAAAATTTTATAGCTTTGATAGGTAGAACGAACAGTTTAACGAACATCCCTCACAAAAAGATAGTATAACGAACTGAAGATCAACTCAAACGATTGAATCTATTATTTGAATAAATGGAAAGCAGGAATTGTATTTAGCATTAGTATTAAAGTCGCTCTGATCTTGATCAGATGAATTTTGTTGCTCTTTTATGGTTTAGCGATTTGCTTAACTCAATCAGTGTGTAAGATAGACAACATAATTTCCTTAACATATACGGAGTATGAGGTAATGGATTATACAACAACAAAATCAGAAAATTGTGCATATTTATAGTTTGTTCTTCAACTTCAAAAGGGTTCTCACGACTGGTTTTTATCGCACCGATTTTCTAGTTTTTAAAAGCATTTCTCTTTTGATTATAAAAAAAAAGCATTTCTCTTTATTATGCATAAATGGAGTAGTGAATACATACGGTGTCGTCCCTCTGAATCTGAACCTTCTTGAAAGGAGCAGATGAATCGGCCATGAGGCGAACCTGAAGCTGAGAAGCAGAGACGAGGAGAGGATAGACTTTCCGGGCAAGAGCAATGGACGGAGCTGTTCTGGTGCCACTGAAGATTCTAGAACCAGTACGAATCATGGTTTGCACAGACGATTTTTGTTCTATAGTTTTTACTCTTTTTTATTATGGACAATTTTGTTTTGTTGAATGAAAAACTATTTCTTATCTTAAAAACTTATAAAAATTATCTAGGGTTAGAAGATTTTAGGGATGAAAAAAATGTTAGTGTAATCATCTAGCTTAACTGTGTAGTACCATATGTTTGGCAGTTTGTACTCTATTATTAGAGGGACCTCACATCCGTTTTATTTCCATCCATAGCTGGTAGCTCCCATCCGTTCATTTCCGTCTCTAATCCTAACCTTGAAGGCTTGAATATACAAATACACCGTCTGTTCTCTCCGTCTCTTGACGCTCCCAACCTTGCTATCACACGGCTACTTCCATCCGCGCAGGCAACCTCACCCCACAGCACCCATAGTTTCTGTGTTGTGCCGCTAACCATCCAGGTAAAAGCTTGAGCTTGAGTTAAGAAGCTTGTGGTCATCCGTAAAACTCAGTAGGTAAGTGTTAGGTAGTAGTATTGAATTAAACCAAACAACAAGCCATCAAACCAAATACGGATAAAGCCCCAAAATTGTTCTAGAAATGTAATGTTGGTTTTCATATTTGGTTTTATATGAGCTTTTTGTGAGTTGGACTCTTGATTGTTCTGGTCATCTCGATGTGAGTTGGAATGATGATTAATGGTGAGGTTTTTATCTATGTGTTTCTTTAGCAATTTTCTCAAATCTATATATGTGCTTATAATTTTACAGTGTGGACTGGTATACAAGTGCTTGTCAAATGCTAGGTGAAGTGAGCAGGTTCTGAATTTTTTAGGCTTTTAGGTTGTGTTTGTTTCCAGGAAAACATGTTCGTGGAAAATGAGTTCTAATTATACTCTATTTGACATTGGAAAATATTTCCATTGATCTTGCTTTGTTGAAATGACTTCCCATCTTGAAAACGGGAAGTCATTTTTGTGAAACAGTTTTATGTTTTGTAATTTTGGGATTTTCAGGAAAACATCTTGACAAAAACTATCATCTTTGGAAGCTAACAAAGTCTTTATATACTGTTTTTCCTTTCTATAGTCCATTTAATTCTTCCATGTTGTGCTTAATGACACTTTTTTTTTTATCTTATTTAATAGGGTTCTGAGGAAAGATTCTCCGTGCTATCATTACCTCATTAGTATCTGAATCTTATATTTATGATTTTTTTTCTTTCTACTCATAGATAACTTATGGTGATCCTACAGTGAATCAACATGTGTACAAGCTGCGGGAAGTCGAACTATACAACATACGTAAGCCCCTTATTTATCATGTTTACTGTTCTTTATAACATGATCTACTTTCTTTAACCTAAAGGTGTCGTTTTATAGAGATAATTAGATAAGATTCTAATAAGTATTTTATCAAAACAAAATCTAGGCCAGACCATAATTAGATATGATCTACTTCATGAACATTATCAAACAATTCTTGCTCGATCAATTCTAATAAGTATTTTATCAAAACAAAATCTAGGCCACAACATATACCGAACTAGGGTAAAATAAATGTACTATGGCGATCCTTTAACTCAAGTACTGAAAGATGCAGAGGTGATAAAATTAGAGGATCGCCCTAAAATATAATAGCTTCAAAGATGAAATCACATGCATCTTGCTCCAAACCTTTAACGGTGGGTTCTTCCAAAGGCCTAATCCATGAATAAATCATGGATTATTCAATATAGAATAAGCAGGGAGAATGACATTTGATTGGCTAGAGAGAGTGAAAAGGCTCATTTTCATTAATTAGGCTGGTAGCAAATGTTCTAAACTATCAGTTGGTTTCTGCAGCTCTGCTCTATTTTAACATTTCTTTTAGCATTTTGAAATATCTATCAGGATATATGCTAAGTAACAAAAGCCTGCTACTTCAAAAGCTAAATACATATTTTTTCCTAAAAAGAGGTCCAAAGGAAGCCCAATATTTCACTATTTAAGAGTAAGGGCAATGCAAGCTAAGCAAGATGCACTTGAATTACAATCTGTACGGAGGGCGAGAAAATTCATTTCCTTTTATATACAAAAATCAATGCGAATAAGTCCAGACACCCGTTGACAATTTTTATACACAGACTTCTATCTAAAAGTAATAATACACATTATATCTTTAGTATTGTTTTAACTAGCTTGCATGCCATTATACACTTAAAAACTTCTGAATTGTTGATCTTATAGTTATTAAACTTAGATCCTGGAAAAGTGATAACCTTAAGAGAGCCTTCACATAAGAATCCATAACTACATAAGAGAAAGAAAGAATGTTCTCATTAGCTCCTAAATAATTGGACTGCATAAATTCTAGCACTATCAGAAACACCAGTAGATTTCACTCTATGCTGAGGTTCAACAACACTTAAAATAGATGCTTCAAACCGACCAATTATTTTACAAAATAAACTAGAATTCATCCATTAAAACAAATATTTATCTCAAAAGCGAGGTATGAATATGTACAGACACAACTAGAACACACATTAGTTTAAATTTGGAAAGAGGCTGATTTCCCAGCTCTTTGATCTGAAGCTTGTTATTTCGTAGTGTTTGTTTTCACTAATAAATGAAAACTTGCGACATATATTTATTACGCATACAGTGTGTAAGCACAATCCTGACCAAGATTGTGCATAATTGTGAAAATATGTGATATCATAGATTTCTGGAAAGCTAATATCAACCATGGTCTGGTTTAGTGGAGATTAAATACTCTCGTTTTAATTTGGATCCGATCAGATGTTTTAGAGAAGTTAGGAAGTTAGGCGTACTTTTGACTAACGGTGACTTGGATTTTTAATTTCTTTGTTTTGACTTTAAAATATAGGGCTAATAGAAGATATGTACGATGGTGTTTTAGATTAAAAGCTTGTATATGTGAATCGACACTATCAAAGAGCTGAAACATAAAGATATAGTAAATAAAAAGAGTTATTCTCTGGAACCCGTCCATTATAAATAAAGCACAAAAAAATGAACATAGGATAGATATGTAAAACAAGGAAATAAGTTATATGGAGAAGAGTGGAGATTATATTAAATTCATCCAAGAAAGCTTTAAGAGATTATAATTGACCAAGTCTTTTTGCTAAATGCAGGGGGAGTAAGGCTCTCTTCTAAAACAGATTATAATTAAACATGCCATTGGACTTCTTGGTCTACATCTCATCAGCAGCTAAAACTGATCAGCCTGAACTTAAAAATAAGATATTTTAAACAAGCTACCTGGGTTAGGCACTATTTATTTCATTACTACTCAAGATTTTTTTGGTTGTATCAAGAATACTAAATTCATTGGCTATTTATTAAAGAGCAGGTACACATTAACCGGAAATTCATAATCATTTCCGAGTTGACTACAAACTTGTGTAGTTTAATTCACACCCTATTATAATATGTGTATTTTGCAGGAGTTTAAGCCTCCTATTAGGAGTTTGCAGGAGCCAGGAAATGAAAGTCAGGGGAGTGGAAATAGCCATGTAATGTGTGCCATTATACATTAGTCTAATTGAAAATATGAAATTATATCACATTCAGTGTTTTTCCTGATAAATTACTTGTATTTACTTTTCCGGTTTTCTACATTACTTGATCTTAGTGCAAAGACTTTTGCGGTGCTCATTTTGACTCCAATCTGACATACTTCGTATACAAATATGTAGATTGCACGAAAGGGAATGTCCAAGATAAATCCCGACGGGTGGAGCTTGGTGTACACAAAAGTTGTACACAATAGTCTGCCACAGACAACTCATCTCCGGACATACAATTTATTTGCACTGGACAGACACGTGTACAACTTTTGTGTACACCAAACATTTTTCAAATCCCGATTCGGATTGCAATGTGACTGTTTGTGAATGGGTATTGTTTTATTTTTCTCACTTATGTATGAGTAAATAAATAACTTATTACTACGTATTACTCCGTATACTAAACGGGGTATGTTATCGGTACTTTTTAAAACTTATTCCGATTTGTCGTCCTAACATCTAATATTTCTTGACTGTATTTAATGTTGGTTACATATTTCTTGCATTGTATCGGTGTTGATTTTTATTTCTTTACTGGATAAAAAGTCAAGACTTGAATCTAGAAAAAAATAAAGATGGAATTCTTTGTCCCTTATAAGCAGGGGCGGAGCTAGGGGTGGCCATCCCTGGCCCAGCCCAATTTTTAAAAATCTCTATATTTTTAATGTAAAAAATTCCATGTGAATTTTATTCCAAAAATATTCTTTGTACCGGTCCAGTCCGGCCCAGTGTCCTGACTCCGTCCCTGCTTATAAGGCAACATTTATAATGTTATCACTAGAGAAAGTACCAAAACACCCTCATGATTAAGACAACATTATACAACCTTCTCACTTTTAACCTCATTTGGAATTTTTTTATTATTATCAAAAACTAAAACTATCTCATGGAGTGTATAATATGGCTTGTAGCTTTGGGCATTTACCCATCGCGCAATGCGCGTATACAAAACTAGTGTATTAATACAGATCAACACCGACAACAATTATCCGTAATCAACTAATACTATCAACTATACAGCTAGATTTAGAAGCGATCACCCTTGAACAACTATACGAATCACTGACCATAAAAATAAAAACATCAACAAAAAATAGAACAACATAAACAAATTTAATGCAAAAGTAAGACCATAAAAATTAAAATAATTGACAAATACTTCAAGCTCCTTCATGCTAGTAGTATTCTTGAAGTATCATCTTCCCGGGCGGCGGTTCAAAAGGGAGGCAATCCGCCGATCTGTCTTCTCCCTTACTCAGAACTCAATTCAGAAATTCTCAAGCAATTATTCAATCAAATGTATCAATCACATTCCTCCATATTCGATTCATAGCAACACATCCAAAAACATCAACCATAAAGAAGCACACCATTGAGAGGCAGAGCGTGGTAACCACAGTCTTTCCACTGTCACTCCAAATGACGTAAGCCGCCTACCGGAAAGACCACCCTAGACGAAAGCTAGGAAGAAAACCACTTATACGCTAATTCCAATTTGTTATCTATCAGACAAACTTGCTGCCCTCCAATAGACGTCAAAATTTTGGTGGCGGCTCACACAGCTCCTAGGGAGCGAGAAGCTTAGGACTTCATGTCTCCCATTGTAAGGTTCTAATTCACACTATTTTTGGAGGGATGGCATATAGTCACGTACTAGGGATGTCAAAAAAATCCGACCCGCAATGACCCGCCCTGGCCCGAGACATTTGGGGCGGGTCCGCCCCGCCCCGTCTTGCAAATGGGGCGGGTCCGCCCCGCCCCGCCTATACAATGGGGCGGGTCCGAGTATTAGAATTGACCCGTGCCGCCCCGACCCGCTCAATACATAAGTATACATACGTTTTCTTAAATAAAACTACAAATATACTTCAACATACATATGTGCGTATACAATAAATCACAAATTCTTTGATCTTATAATATATGAATATATATTAGAATGAGATGAACGACAGATTATCAATGTCTTCTTTATATAATTTTAATACATATATTCAATTATTAATATAACTAATTAGATCAACTATTCAAGTCTGAGTAATTTTTCCTTAAATTTTGAAATTTTTAACTTATCATGGAAATAAACTTTATGTATAGATAAACTTTATGTAGATTCAATTGGTAACAACTTCCCACAAATAAAAATACATACTAGCTAATTAGGATGCAGTGGAGCGGGGCGGACCCGCCCCACCCCACATGGGGCGGGTCATGGGTCAACAAGTTTGGACCCGTGCAAGTCACGGGGCGGGGCGGGTCTGGGTCTTGGAATACCCGCCCCGCCCCGACCAATTGTCATGCCTATCACGTACTCTATATTATTCAATCATGAGTTATAAATCTACGGACAATTTTGTTTTAAAAACGGACTAAACTTTTAAGTACATTTAAGCAGCTTTTTTAAGAGAACATTGTCAATTTAGTACTTGTACTATTATGAAAAAGTCAATTAGATTTTCATATTTTAGAAAATATCAATCAAATTCACGAACATTGAAAAAAACATTCAATTGTGTCAATTAGGAGGTTACTCGTGCGTGTCTTGAGAAACTTCTCACGCACTTTATCATCATCTGTGCGTGCCTTGAGAAACTTCTCATGCATTTTGTACTCACTCGTGCGTGCCTTGAGAAACTTCTTAGGATGTCATTCATCCCAAGACTACTCTTGTACAAGCACACTTAATTCGGAGTTTTTATTCGATGAACTCCTTTAAAAGGAGATGCATGCACCTTGTTGGTACGAACATCATATTAAACCCTTTTAATCAATCTCAAGTATTACGCTCAGTTTTACAAACTATCCACTCTATTGTGATTAGAAATTTATACTATGTATTAAATTTAGCTATGAAAAGTAGTATGGACTACGAAGTATCCAAGGTAACAACAATTGTGTGAAAGTTTTTTTACACACATTACTGTTTACACACTTGTACACACTGTCTGTGAAAGCCTTTTTTTTGTCTGTCACATACACAAACAAAGCATACATTTTTTTTGTGACAAACAAAAAAAACTTCACAGCTTGTGTGTAAATCGTAAAAGTGTGTACAAAAAGCTTTTTTGTCAAGGTAATAATTAAAAGTGATGTGTTTCTATCAAGTGACCTAATATTTTGATTTTGACATTCAATTCGGGGTTCATAATACAATGATGTTGGGTGTAGATACTTGTGTACACAATATAAATAGCCAAAAAATTACTCCCTGCCACTTCTCTACCTTATTTTCCTCACCTTTTTTCTCTTTTCACACATTTCTCTCTCTTCCCACATTTCTCCTTCCTCCTTCCATACGAACGCCCTTCCTCACTCACCTCTTCCCTCTCTTTTCTATTTCTTTTCTTCTCATTCTGTTTCATTTCTTTATTATGTAATCACCACATCTCCTTTGCATCTTCTTTTTTCCTATTTTATTATTATCGGAGATTCGTCGGAAAATAAATTTAGAAAATCACCTGAATGGGAACTTTAACATATTCCATCTTACTCACATCTTCAAGTTTTTCCTAAATCAAGAAAATAATCAGGAATGAAAAGTCGCCGGAAAACAAAACTGAAAAATTAGTAAATTCAAACTAGTGCCTGTGCACATGCATTATTTGTATGTGCATAGACATTAGTTGTCTATGCATAGAAATTAGTTATCCGTGCATAGACAAAAAATGTCGATATAAATATACATTAGTTGTTTGCGACAGACAAAAACTAAATGTACATAGATAATAGTTATATGTGCACATACATAGGTTTCTGTGCAACAAAAGGCCAATTAAAATACTATTCACATTGATTTTCATTATTCTTTTTGCATATATGTTTGCGTCAATTGCACGCAATCCAATATCTATACACAGACAATAGTTGTTTGAGACATGCAAAAAAACTAATGTCTATGCACAAGCACTGATTTGAACTTATTTATTTATAGATATAGAAATTTAATTCGTTTTCAATTTATATTTTTCTTATAGACAATTTATATCAATAATTAGGACGACTTGGACAACAAATTTCGCGACTACTCCTTTTCAATTTCCTGGAGACTTTCTCGTGACTCTGAAACTCCGATTATTTTTCGGTCTTGAAAGATGATAAGGGTGGAGATAGTGGAGATGAAAGTATAATGATAAAAATGGAGGATGATTATTATATTAAAGATGAAAAATGAAAAATGAATTAAAGAGAAATGTGGAGAGAGTGAAATGTGAAAAGAGACGTGGGGGAGAAAAAAAAAGTAAAAATTTAATATAACCCTTATATAGGGTGTACACAATTGTGTAACTCAATGTGTACAGATGGCCGAGTTGCTTATAATAACGGTTTTGCAAAAGTTTGGTATATTGTATATTATGTGTCCTACTTTAATCCTAATATGATGTGTTACACATATTAATTAGTTAGCGTGATTATTTACTAGATTCCAACTTGTGTATTGTTCTTTTGGTGATAGGATATTCGCATAAGGTACCATAAACTCATTTTAAAAAATACAAACATAATTTTTTTGGTTTGTACTAGTAATTCTTGAAGACCAATAATGATATGTCCAAATTGAAGAATGTTTTTCCAAATCTATTAGTATTGTACAGTACGGAGGTGAAACAGTCAGTATTGATGGAGTATATTTCCATATATTTCAAGGGCCCAAATCAAACATTTGGAGAAGCAATTCAAGTCATATGTCAGACAGGCCAAGACCGAGATCTCATCACCAGTCCAGCTTCACACTGGTAGACATATTTGCTTCGGACCAAGCTGCTTCAAGGAGGCTGAGCCCAGTGACTGCCAGTCTACCACGTACTATAGATATCCTGCTAAAGATATCAAAAGAGACCGAAGAGACCTGATCGATATCTCAATTCAGGGATTGTTTGACACATAGTCGTTTCCTTGGCATCATAACAATAAGGTGCATATTCAAAGATTATGTTACCATCACTTCGGCTGACATCGCAGACCTTGTTTTCCAAAAGGGCTTATATTATCAGTGACATCACCAATCTTGTTCCCCAAGTATTGCACAAACACGTGTCGACTCTGGGATTGGTTAGCTCCTTTGGGCTTCCGGTCCAGCCCTTGTAATCTGTCTATAAATGGCAACCTTTCCCCTATGGGAAAGCGACCAAAATTCTTATTGTTACTCTGTCAATTTTTTATACACAACTTTCTCACAAGGCCGGTCCTGGTGCATGGGCAACGGGGCCCATTGATCTCTTAGGGCCCATAACTTTCTTATATTTATTTATTTTAATTATATATACATTATATATCTATAAAATTATAAAAAAGCATAGATTATATTTTTTTATACTTTCAATTCATTATTCAACAACATATACAAGTTTAAAATTTTGAAATTGAACATCGACACAAGAATTCCTTGGAAACAAATTTCACCATTTCTTTTGATTCATTAAGAGTTCGCATAAATGTTAATATTTTCATCTACTTCTCTCATGTAAGCTC